ACTCTCTTCCCTTTGGATACAGAATTCCATTTTTTCATCTTCATTATTCTTGATATCCTTACCTAATACAGAATCTTGTACTCACTCACTTCAATTTGTCTCTCGCTTCTTGTATTTCTCAATATTCTTTTGTTCCACACTAATCTTTGCTATCATTCTTTGCTCCTCTGTCATGTTAGCAGCTATATTTGTCCTAGACTTTCACTGCTATTAAATGTTTTTCAAAGCTCTTTTTTTTTTTTTTTTTTTTTTTTTTGGTGTGTGTATGTATGTATAAATTCTTCCTTTCACTCTCCCAGCTGCTTATGGTTTGTGTGGCATATTACCATGCTATCTTTTGCACAGATGCCTCATGACAATGCTATTATGAATTCTGTGTGATACCTAATAGTTCCATAGGCATAGAGAAGGCAAAAAGTGCTCATCCATTTACCACTTATTTATGTCATTCAAGTACTTTCAATCTTTGCCTAGTCTTTTCCTCTATAAAGATGTTCCAAATCCCTTTATCAAGCTACCATTATCGCATTATTTGAATGATTTCTCAACATCCATTTCTGGAATACTTTTGCCAAAGAATGTATTTTATGCCAGACATATGCATGAGAAATATTACAAGAAATACCTTAGTGTTGCTTCTTTTTCAGCTGCTATGAATCATAGTTTCATTTGTTAATCCTTTGCTGTATTTATTTTCCAAAAACAGATTGATCTTTAACAGTCTCTTTGCAAAATGCTTAGAGCAAAGGAAATGTTTGTATACATGGGGCTGTAATAGCATTTCAGAGAATTAATTTTTTAACAAATGAATTCTATAGCTGCAAAGAATTAGTTTCCATTCAAATAAAACCCAGTAGTTATCTGACAGTATCCAATTAGCTACGAGACTAGCACATTCAAATGAAATGCTTAGAAAAACCTGAGTAAGCAAAATTATTCTGCTACTGTCATGGGACAAGGACCCAGTGATAAAACATTTTCTTCATGGAATGTGCTGTGAAACAAGCACAACTAATCAAAACCTTGCATTTCCAGACAATCAAAAAATAGTGAACATCAGTAAGTAATACACTTGTAGTTCTGATTCTCAAGAAAAATTACTACCAATACACATACTTTTAAGAACAACCCTTATGCACAAAGGAGCATGTTCAGGAAATACTCACATCATATAATGAAGATTTAGCATTATTTTGGACTCCCATAAGCAATAAACAACATCACATGAGTGTTAAATAAGTTTTTTTAACAACATTTTTTAAAAGCATAGTGAGTATACTACTCTTGCTTTTATGTTGGAAGTGATGTCCCAGTGGGAGGGAACTCTTTGCCTTAGTTTTCAAAAAGGCTAATAAAGTAGCATCAGTCAAATCTTTTCAAGATTATTTTAACTTAGAACTGAGAACAGTTCAACATGGATTCATGAAAGTCAGTGAATCCGTATTCAGAACTTATAATTTAGTGTTCATAAGCTTGTATACACACACAAGTGTTTCTGCGTCCATAGGTCCAGTTTTCCACTCCTAAATTCAGCAAAACCATATGTAAAATTCATTTTCTTACAAAGCTAAATAAAAACTTCTATTTAATTGACTGATCTTGCTTTCTGCCTGATTTGCCATTACAAGAATAATTTATTCATAAGGTTAGGCATTTATTTAATGTTTTTGAAGGTGTTCCTTTTCTCAATTAACATTGCTTGCATCTGTTACTTTTTCCACTGCAACAAAATAGAAGACCAGTGGGTGGACCTCTATAAATGGTCCATGCAGAGATCACCTGACACTTTAAGTACGCTATCATGAATGCTTCAGCTTACTAATCAAGTTTTCTAGCAGTAACTGTTGGTTAAGATCAGTGGATGCTCACATATTTGTTATGCACTGAGTGCATAATGTTCTTTTGTCTTTATTATAATGGGTGAAGTTATTTAGTCTTCAGCAAAATTTCTGAAAATATATTAAAATAACTACCAAAAATTTCCATTTCTGTTTTCTTTGCTGGATTTCTGTTATTCCAGTCCTGAGACCAAAAGAAAATCTGCCAGTTTGAACACCAATTGGATCAGCTCTTTTCCTGTCAGTGCATCTCTTACACCCATACAGTTTGGAATGCTGCCTTGCATGTGGTAACTTACAGGTTTTTTCTTGCTCTGGCACAAAATTCATGCTTTCTCAGCATGAGTAATGAGAGCAGGTAAGTGAAATATCTTTCAGACGTGATGTGGCAAATGGTCATGAAATTCATAGAAATCTCACTATGACACTACCATTTCTACTACCAGAAAATATAATTTCTATAGTAAAAGACAATATTATAAACAAAGTACTAGAACCCTTTGTCAAATTATCATATTTTTCACAACTTGAGAATTGTTCATCCATCACAACATGGAAATATAGAAATTCAGAATCTTTAATTCCACTTGAAACTCAGCTCACCAGATGAAGCCTATGATAGTTATACATTATCACAACTGATCTTTTGAACGTGTACTACCTTGTTGTTTTTAGATAGACTGCAATTACAAAATACAGATCATCATTATATGAGAAAAATAATTAATTGTAAATTCCATTAAGGGAAAAAATATATATATTTTGGCTTCTAGGATTCAAACTCCATTGTCTACAATAGAAAAATTTAGATACTGTATTTTCTCACTGTGCTGTTTGCAAGGTCACCTTGTCCAAAAGATGAATTTAAATTGCATAATTAGGAATAATTTAGCTGCAGAATGCAACAAACAAACAAACCACAAATGAAAACCCACTGAAAGTTTAATATTTCACAGGCTTGGTTTTAATTTTAGTAGTTTTTTTTTGACAAAATGTCTACATATTTCACCAAACTGCGAGTGAGTACTCCAGTTTTCCCTCCAATGGTTCTCCTAAAAGAGGTATAAGAAAGTACCAAAGGTAATTTAGTATGCAGGATGAGGAAATGCTAGAAAAAAAATGCTACCAAATCATATTTAAGTGCTGCAAACTGAGTTTGTAAGTGTTTCTACTCAGTGGTATATAGCATTCCTTCTTGATGATGAATATCCCTCTAGTATTACTGTAGCATTCATCACCCTCCACATCTGAAATTTTTTTTGCTCAAAACTAGACACACACACACACACAAACAACAGCAAAAGTGAACATTCAGGTAGGCTTTCAGTTTTTGAAATTATATATTACTGAACTTTAAGCTACTGTATGTTAAAATGACCCTTTTATTTAAGAAACTATCATTCTTATTTATTCACAAAATTAAACTATCTACTCAAGTATAATTGAAATTCTTTAAACTGCATCCACTGTGTAAAAACAATTTCAGAAATCTCATACTTTCTAACAACTATGATGAGTTTCAGCAAATAACTATCTACACAGAATACTATCTGAGAGGGGTGTTATTTAAAATAAAAAAGGTACTTATACTTACTGTCACTATGAGCCAGGATTCATTTTCCTCAGATGTTTGCTTGCTATTATGGACTCTCTGTGAACAGTTTGCTTTTCTAAGCTCATGAAGGATGTGCGGGCTGTCTTACCAAGGCTTAATAGGATAACAAGTTCAATATTTTTTTCCTTTGGACTTATCCACTTCTGTACTGTCAATCCCAGTTGGCAATGATATGCTATATATACCTACTTTTCCGATCACAGAGGCAAAAAAAGGACTGCTGGCTATTAAATATTTAACAACTAAAGCAAAAAAAAAAAAACCAAACAAAAAACAAAACCCAAACAAATAGTAACTCAGCTCGTTAGGGCTTTACATTTCTCAGCTTTGTCTGAAAAGTCTTTAGTATGGGTAATTTTATTGACTAAATTAAAGATAAAAGAAGGACCAATGTTGTTTTTGCTCCACTTCTTTTTCTATTTCTGTCCCTTAAGCTCAGAATCTGATTAGTATATTTAATTCCGTGAAGCATCATGACCCGTCTACCTTTAATCAGCCTACTGACATCCAGCCCTTGTCCCTTCACATGTTGCAGAACTCAAGATAATCATTTACCTGTTTGGTAGCATTATGATACAAAATACAATGTACGCTGTTCATTCACAACACTGGAAAGATTTTTCATGTTTACACGCCCAATACTGAAAAAAAGATGAGCATACTTAGGGGGACTAACACAGGTTTATTAAAACTCTCACATTGCTATTTGAGCTTATAGCATTGCTAGTAGCATAAATTTTCTGTTTAGACTTCTCTGTTTTTTGTTTCTTTTTATTATAACTTTAAAAAGACAAATATTTACAAACTATATACTGAATGAAGTTAATTCTCATTAGTGCTCTAGCAAGTTGGAAGAGAGAACATTTTCAGATTTTCTTCCTAATGAATCTGCATGTACTATGAGCACTCTTTTTTGCTTTGAGACCACAGCAGAAGCAAGAGAGAAGCAACTGAGGGATCATTATCACACATCACAAACAAATTACGTCTATTTTTAGTGGCTTAAGGGATTATATTTTCTTAATACACTGCTTTATCATAGTGACAAGCACAGCTACAGCCTGGATAAGGCAAACAATTCAGATGTTAAGAAGGTACTACCCTTATCCAGTGAGGAACGCTACACTTTGGTCCTTTCCTAAATTGTTCCAGTTGCTAATAACTACAGCATTTGGTTCTTCAATTAGATACTTCGTATGTAATCTGCAAATCATCATGCCTTCAGAATATTTCTATGCATAGGTGTTTCCAAAGTAAATCTCAAGCTTATTATTTACAAACAAGTCAAATCATGCTCAGAAATAGCACTTAAAATTAAGACATTGAAATGAACAAATTAGTTTTCTGAAAAAAATGATGTTTATCAACCTTTCTGTGAATGGTTCTTATGTTGAAGATAGAAAAGAAAAAAAAAGACCTCTGGTTTAGGAGGAAGCTTTTCACCCAGAGGGTGGTGACACACTGAAACAGGTTGCCCAAGGAGGTTGTGGAAGGCCAGGCTGGATGTGGCTCTGGGCAGCCTGGTCTGGTGGTTGGCAACACTGCACATAGCAGGGGGGTTGAACTAGGGGATCATTGCGGTCCTTTTCAACCCAGGCCATTCTATGAGTCCATGATTCAGCTTTCAAGCATGTATATATGTTAAAATTATAACTACCAGCTATAACAAGTAAGAGATTAAAATCTTATTCACAATCTCAGATAAAAACATCTTCTTTTCAAATCAATTTTTTTTCTGCTCTTTTCATTCTGTAAACGATCATTTTTAAAGTTATTTATGAACATTTTTAATAAGAGATTTTATTATAGATTCTCAATGAATCTATAATGAATCTCAACTGAATCTCAACATTGGCTATGGGCACCTTCTTCTGAGTTCCAGTTACAAACTTATTGCTATAGCAACCCACCCATACATATAATTTCCTACATGAAAAGCTAATATTAGGATGGAACCTTTACATATATTTTTAGTTATCTTAGTGTGATAAATAGCTTATATAATCTATATTTGCTCTTTGCATTATTCTGTTTCTTCCACCTGCTCCTCATTCCCTTCTTGTTCATCTTTCTTAACATTTTTCTCCACTACTGTCTCATGCTCTCCACTCTTCTCTATCTGTATGAAGAAGCTGCAACTAGACTTCCTTCTGTTTGACACTGATTTTTCAAAAGATTAATTCCACTAACCATGTGCAGTCCTGTAAGTATTGATAGTCCATGAAAACTTCTCATATTACCTCTCCTCTGTAAAAGAGATCTTAAAGCAAAGCAGTGCATTGTTTCCTTCTCAATTTCACACAGCTCAAGTGATACCCTTATTTTCTTAATTTGTAGGTATGGGTGAAACAAGGAAGAGAATGAAGCAATGTATGATTCATCACCTGTTCTAACTGTCAGAAGAGTTTCTTCCTTAAAAGCTTGATGCCTACTGCCACAAAAAAATTATTGCTATAATAGTAATGTTGAATAGAAAGAAGTAAGTATTAGGATCTGTAGAACATTTTTAATGATTCTGGAATTAAAAGAATTTTGTAACAATTTTTACATTGATTAAAAAAATATTCATATTATTCTGAATAAACAAAGCACTATGCTAATTCTTATGAACCCCACTGCCTCCTGGCCATTTCTATTTCTTTTTATACTGCTGCATTGTTACAGAGTACTGATTCATAACATAATGACATTAACAACTGTATACTTTTATAACCTTCCATTTTCATTTCATATAAGCTTATATTTCTTCAATAACAATAAATTAAGGCACAAATCTGAACTACAGCATTAAAAACACTTAAGTAAATAATTAGTATATTGCCTTCTCAATCATACAGCTGGGGTTGATTATAATTCTATCAACTGTAAATTCTTAATAGCATTAACAACCTACTGCCCCAATTTCTATAGAACAGCTTTGTATATATTTTCACATCTTTTAAATAATCCACTTTTCTCCTCCATTACTCTGCAATTCCATTTCTATCAGAGAATGAAATAACTCACTGTCACTAAGTACATTATCTTATATAAAGACAGTTAGGATTTTTGGAAAGATTTTCCAATGCATTTTTCATAAATAGAGTGCTGTGTTAGAAATTTAAATTCAAGTTCACACAACTGATTAAATGCTGGCCAAATCAGACTGGGGGATCTGCAGGAATAAATGTGCTGCTTAGAATGTTCTTCATGTAAGAGACAAAAGGTACTGCATATTTACTACTTAATGATGCTATTAGCTCAAAAATAACTTACTGACAGAAGTTTCAACTCTGAAACACTGGTGTTTTCCTTGCCATGTAGAATTTTAAAAATGGAGATAGGACAAAATGAGAATACTAATGAGAAAACCGGAGGATATAAATGCAGAGTTCAGACTAAAGGAAAGGTTAGGCCTTCCTGTAATGTAATAACTCCTTCCATGGAGGGATAGAAAAACTCAAATCAACATCAAGAGCCTAATAATGACAGACATAGTAATTTGATCAAAAATCACAAACACATAAAAGTAGCTGGGCACAATAAAATATTCATTTTGTCTATACGTTGTCTGCTTCCTTGGGATATTCACTGAGTTTCCCTCAGTTTTCACTCAGATCTGAAAAATCTGTAAAGATTTGCAACCTCAGAAACCTAAAGACTCAAAAATTTACAAGGCTGCAGAAAAAATAGATAAGCAGTTCTTTTAAATTCATTCCTAATTTTAGAATTCATTAGAAGAAAGAATTTAATTCAAAGATTAGCATTCATTCCAATCCAATGTTTTATCAACTGGTGTGCAATAGCTTGACTCGGTGGTACAAAGAACGAACGCTGATTTCCTTTAATGAGAACATCCACGACCTGCAATAAAAATACATATTTTTTTCCTTAGAAGAAGTATTATAAGCCATACGGAATCTAATTCTAATGTTGAATTAACTTAGGGATAATGATGCAACAATTATCTTATCAGTCTATTGTTACTGTAGCCATTAAAGGGTTATTACCAGAGTCTCCAAGACAAATACAGAAAAATGCACCTGGAAGAGATGTTGGATTCTGACATTTTTGAGCACAAATGGGACCCAAGGAATACTTTCTTATTCATACAACTGTGGAGATAGACTGTTAATACAATATTTAAGATTTTCGTGAAGTCTCTGCATGGTGAAACCACCAGATGGTGCTATATACTGTTCATGAAATGTTCTTTTTCATTTTAACATATACTGTAGGAGAAAGTATGTTTTGTTCATTTTCTGAAGCAAGAGTGAGCAGCATGGGTGTATGCTTTTAGATTAGCACATTTCTGAAGTGCACTTATGCCCAATTCTAGACCAATCTGCATATGACTAGCTGCATTAGAACTGATATTCATTTAAAATAATGTTCTTAGCGTTGCTAGAAATACACTGAGATTGTAGGTGGCTAATTTTGCCTTCAAGTTCACTTGCAGAGTCACAACACTTGCAATTGCTAAGCAGTTGTATAGCATTATTAGAAGTTTGTTTTTAAGTAGTTTGTGGCAAAATCCACAAAGAGTATGCTGTATAAGCAATCTTCACATTTTCTACTCATGAACTCTTTCTGCCAAAGTTGTTTTTTTTTTTTCCCCTTCTCTGTTTCACTTGATCATAGCTTAAATAATCAGGAAATCTACATATAGAATTTTACATTAATGCAAAGAAAATTGCACTCAGATGTACCAGATTATTAAAAAACTCCCTAATGAAAAAAAAGATTTAAAATAATGACTTCAAAGAAATTTTACCTAAATCTCACATCCAGCCCCACCAAACTTGGTAGCATTCTTGTTTGCAGTGATTCATGTGAAGAATATTATTTCTGCCAAAATGCAACATTTCTTCTTTATGAAGAAAACTAAGCTACAGTAACTCTAATTTGGACGTGTCCCAAAAGAAAAAGGTGAACAGCTAAGAGACAATAATGACATAAAGCAGACTTGCCTATGACCCAGTAATTACTGTGCTCCTTATGAGTACCTGCCTTTTACTGTTCATGTAATCTACAAATACAGTGTAATGCAACTACAGTATGATAAAATGGAGAGATTACTATCTCATTCAACTTGCTGAAAAAAGCAAGTATCTATTCTGCCAGAAGTGATACGACCACAGACTAATCAATACGAGAAGGAAATTAAATTGAACTTTACTTGTTCTCTAGTGAACCAGCGGGCATCCTCTATTTCATTCTTGTCAACTCTAATTTCTGTAGACACTGCAACAGCTAAGCAGCCAATCATTAGGGAGGAGGGCATTGGCCATGGCTGACAAGAGACATACTGAACATGGCCAACTTTGACTCCAGTTTCCTCTTCTACTTCTCTTCGAACAGCATCTTCTATTGTTTCTCCTGATCAAAAAGGGCAAAGAACAAAGAGCTGATGAAAATACTCCAAGCAAGGATTGCATCCTGTGCTTTGAAATGACTCAAAGGATTTTAAACTGCAATAGACAATTACACATAGACATCTAGTTCATAGATCAGGGTATAGATCTTAAGCTCAGGGCACTGAAGACTAATAAGGCTACCCACCACAGCAAAATGGAACTCTGAAAATGAAAAATTGTAATTTTTCCATTGTAACAACTATTTCCTGAATTGACAATTTATCATACATGCAACCTACCATTACCTGACACTTTAAAAATTCAATAGGAAATATACTGTTCCTTAAATGAATTTTGAAATGCAGATCTGTTCATTTAAAAATATCATTCTGTTAATTTTTTAAGTTTTCAGTAAGAATGTAACAACAAAATCGTAACCTGTTGTTACTTATACAGAATTCTGTACTGTATTATTCACTTTCTCTGACTCATTCTTCATTGTCTTGATACATGTAGACAACTCTCCAAACTTGAAATGCAGTGAAAAAAACATTATGTTCGCATTCATGGAAGATTTACAAGGCAAAGGTTCTTTACTGAGACAATGATGAGGCAACGGAACAGACTCTTCAAGAAAACAGTCACAGCACCAAGCATGCCAGAGTTCAAGAAGTGCTTGATAGCACCCCCAGAGACATGGCTTCATTTCTGATTGGTCCTGTGCAGGGACAGCAGCTGGACTCGGTGATTCTTGCAGGTACCTTCTGACATGAGATATTCTATGACTTTTGGATGCGTATGTGGAGTGGAAGTGGTCATAAGCTTACATATACGCATACATAAGCATGTATGTGCTTTGCAGTAATCACTGATTACAGATTCACTGAACTGGAGAATCCACGCATCAGTAAGTGCTTTATTTGAAGATAAAGAAACTTTTTAGATAGTTCAAACCAGTTCTGCAAGAACCAGATTTCTTTACTACAGATCACAATATACACTGATGTTCCTACACGTTCTGCTTTGTCACATAAGATAACTAACCACTAATAATGCAATCTTTTTAGTCTTTTAAGTCTTCTCATCCAATTACAGAATTAAATTCTGGATAAATTTCAAGATCTGTGGTTATCTTCATTTTCTTTACTGAGCAACAAACCAAGTATTATTTCAAATAGCAAGTGAATTCCTAAAAGTTCTAGAGGAATTAAGTTAAACTGATCAGAACCTGGTAAGATCAGTGATCTTAAATTTCAGTATATACATTTGGATCAGTATCAGAAAGTGCTGATTTGGGAGAATTAAGAAAGTAGTAAAGAAATAAACCACCTAGCTTTTTTTCAAATGACATAAGCTTATTCATGCTCTTGCCATATTTCACTTGCATGCAGTTACTGAATATACTTCAGCTTATAGTTATTTACTGTACATTACACTATAGCTGGTGATTAAGATGTATTCACAGTATAAGAATATTTTATAAATTATTTTTCAACAACCAATAATTTTAACTAATTCTAAATATTACTGCTGAACATAGCTAGCAAAATCTCTTTGCTTTTCCTTGAATATTATAAGATCTCTGCTTATCTTCCATATAATCAATCACTTAAGCATAAAGTGGAACTCCTATTTCTCCAATATTAAAACCCCTTTGTAAAAATCACCAAATCACCCTTACATGTATTTTAAAATGTTTTTTGTCACTTGATACATGATTTAGAAGTGTAAGATGAGAGAATGATTAGAAACCTTTATTTACTCAGTTTTTTTTTTTTTTTTTTTAAAGCAGCTGTTGCAGAACACACTACAGGTATGTTTATTAGTACAACTTAACTAGCAGTAAACAAGAACATTTATTTGAATAACACAGAACAAATTTCTGAATTATTTACAATATATAAAACCGGTATGTGGGAAAGCCATCTAATAAGGGAAAATCACTCACCAGGTTCTACAAATCCAGCAAGACAGGTAAACATTCCAGGAGGAAACCTCTTTTGTCTACCTAGAAGGCAGTGATTCCCATCTGGGTGAATGACTTGCATTATCACAACAGGATCTGTAATGGACATTAAAGGAATATATTTCAAATTTTGGAAGACTTAAAAGCAGCAAGAAAATTCAGCCTATATTGAAGTATATACACAAATGTGTATACAAACCAGAAAACTTTAAGTGCCTGAAATCAAAATGGTGTAAATGCCCAGAGCAAGCAGTTATTTTATTTTGCTTTGATTGGTTGTTTTTGTTTGGCAACACAAGTACTTTGTGTAAGCACTTTACTAGCCAAGGGTATGGCACAAATTACCTGCAACCCCAGCATATGATCTGTTAAGAGTCCAGAGGTACTAACTTAGGTACACATCCAACACACAGAAACAATTTCAATAACAAATACAATTTACTATCACCTCCTCTAAAATCACAGGCCTGTAGGGTGTAGGTTCCACTTAAATACACTACGCAGAGCCAGGTACTCTGAATGCAATACTGACTAACCTTTCCACTTTCACTTGTTTACTATCAATTCCTTATCTGATGTTGCATCTTTTCACTCCTGATAGTTTCATGCACCTTTTTCTTTTTTGCTAAATATTTTCTATTGATATCATTATTTTTGTCATATGTTTCTGCATAATGGTAATCAACCTTCTGCCCTTTTTATTCTCAAATATTCTAATGTTTTGTTTTAAAATGTTTCTGCCTCAGCATTAACATTTTCCTCTTGCTAATGTTTTTCAGGCCTTCTCTTTTTTTATTGTCCAAAATGCCAGTATTTTCTCTGTATAAAAAGGTTTACTTCAGTATTTATCACAATCAGTGATCTCAAAGTCTACTGTCCTACTTGAAGGTATCTGCCACATGGCACAAAGAGAAACATGCAGTACTGTTGTCTGTAAACACTTTTTTCAGAGAAAGGCATAAGTACATAACACTCATTTGGCAGTCTTTTCTATATTCTCTCATTCCTTCTTTAAGTCTGTTGTACTAGAACTACAAATGCAAAAGGGAAGGGAAGGGAAGGTGATACCATATCATGCAGGAAAAAAAGGGTCATTTTCATTCCTTGTTATCTTTGCATCAATACCATAGCAATTATAATAATCTCCTTTGCAACATGTAAACAAAACGAGCTGTAGAATAAGCTTATTTTCTGAATAAAAATAAACCTGGCAGTTTGCAACTGACAATCAAAAGTCAAAGCAGAACTGTCACCAAGAGAAAAATGTAAAATTAAATCCTCTGGACAATCTGGGAAGAGACAAACATGTAAGAACTGAACAGAGATTGAAATAATTAAAAAAAACCCACAACACCTCAGTAACATGCACTTTGTAACATTTGAACAAGCTTATCTTATAATATCCTCACCAACTCTCGGATATGATGTGTTATGAACACCTTGGAGGCTGGGACAATCTTCTTTTACACAAGTTTTCTTGTAGCCACCTTCTTCAATCTTGGTTGTGCTCCCACAAGTTGGGCAGAAACGGTAGCGGCTGTGCCATGCTAGAATAGATCTAGCCTGGGCTACTACTCCTTTTAAAAAATAGATTAAGAATGCATAAAATCACATACTAATTCATTTAAGCTCTTCAAATTAGAGAAAAAAAAAGAGAAGTATTAAAGTCTAATATAAAAATCAAAGTAGACTATGGCTTAAACTGTCATCAACTGCATCAGAAGCCGCATGATACAAGTTTTTTACATATTTTTATTTGCAGCACAGCATTTGCAATACAATGCACTATGATGTAGATACAGATCAATTTATTTAAGATATTCGTCCAGATCAATGTAACCTCTTCTTCACTGAAATTTCTTTGCCTGCATGAAATGTCAGAATTGCATACCACACTTTATCTAAGGTGAGAAAGGCATTTACTGCAGGTATCTTGACATAAAAAGGTACTGACTGTCTCATTTAAATTTGAGGTGCAAGTTGAGTTTGCCCTTTATCCTTCTCTAAAACTGACATTATTGCAACAGAGCTGTTGCAACATGTCTGTGGCATTCATTCCAACTGGGATCCCAACCTTGCAACACTTGCTCTCAGTTTTCTTTCCTCTGGTAAATATTCAACACACTGTTACAAGGGACTTGTACAGTTTCTTGTAATGAAAATGAGTAACAATGGATTTTTTTTTTCCTTCTTCTTTTTACAACATTAATGCACATGCATTAATATTAAAACAGTGTTATTTGTAAAACCATGATAATTAATGCACTTAACAGTTTACTACTCACAGTTGCAGATATTAGCATTTTGCAACTGCACATTTTTACACATAGCATTCTTCACAAAACCACTAACACGACTGTGAAAATTTTATTTTTTCTATTGTCATTGAAAATACCTGATTACTTTGCAGCAGTTTGTCCTTCCAGCATATCTCAGCAAATACCAAGGCATATCTTTCTGACTACCTATTTGATTACTGTTGCATTTTATGCATCTTACCAGCTTCATTTTCAGGCAGCTGCAGCAGTGTTGGCATTGGTGGATGAAGAAAATAACAGTCCTCATGCTTCTGTTTAAATCTCTCAGCAGAAGTAGGATTTATGCTAAGAGCAAACCAAGCAACAAGTCCATCATCATCACCTTCTTGTAGAGCCTCCCCATTGTGAGCAGTGAAAAGATTTGTGTGTAACTGCAGATCAACTCCAAGAAAAATCAAGGTGACTTCTTCAGTCTGGCTCATGCACTGTTCCACATCCTTGTGGTGCAGTCTGCAAAGCCTGACTTCTGGCTGCTGCAACTTCTCTGTTCCCCCACTCAGAGTAACCAATGGATTTAGGTCTGAGAAGAGTATGTATACCGTAGCAGGATGGCTTTGTTTTTTGCTTAGCCACTTGGAATCTATTCTTTTATCACTTCTTCGGTCCAGAAGTGTCGTGCCAAAATAATTTGAATATCCTTTCACTTCAGTTGACAGAAAACCAGGCTTCTGACCTCCTTTTGCATTAGCCAACAAATTAGCAATGTGCTTGTACCCCCAAAATTTAGCAATGTCCAGAGCTGTCTGCCTTGATTTATTAATGATGGACCTGTCACACCTACAGAAACAGAAAAGAACAACAGCTAACAGAGTGAACATTTTCAGGAAGAGTTCCAATGTTGTACTATTGTTACAGCACAAAGATCTGATACTACTGAGCTGCATCAAGTTTTCAAAACTCAGAATCGAGGGCATTCTTCAGGCTATATACTGATGGTATTAAAAAATGATCGTAGTTTTTATTTTGCTATGGTCAAATCCCTCATTTATGGCGCATTCTTGACATCACTTAGCAGGTTCATGTAGTACTACAAGAGTAACCAATTAATTAAAATCCCAAACACTGCAACATGCTGTTCTGTCCTGACAAAAGAAACAAAAAAAAAAAAACCCATTCACTCAAGATTCTTTACAGGGGAAGTTTTGAAAGGCAAGAAAGAGCACTCTTCTGGCTTACGAGCAACACAAAATTAAGTAGTTTAGCTAGCACTTCTTTCCAGAAGCTACCAAAAGAGTCATCAAAACACTTAAAAAACAAGTTTACCATTAAGTAAGAATGAAGAATATGGCATGTGCTTAGCGAGAAAAGTAGCACTCTGGTAGGTCTGGGACATAAGCTGGCCTGTGCAGATCTCTTTGTTCCCAAAACAAAGCAGAATGAAACATCTGGTAAAGCAGTGATTCATTGTAAATATTTCAATAAACTAAAAAAATATATCTGAAATACATGGAG